CCCGGTGCCCCCACCCCCCAAACCCCTACCCAAACCCTGCATTCACAAGTTCTGGTCCAAGTGTGTCTGAAATTGCCCTCTTGCCTTGGTCTGGTAGTTTTTTTATCAAACCTCCCCGACTCTGACGTCAGAGCCTGAAAAATATATATAAAAATATATATATATTGGGACAAATTTGACCAGTGGAGCAGTTGACTAATAATTTAGTTATTGATCGAGGACCAAAATGATTAGATGATTCTGTGTTTCATTCAGTTCTGAGATCGTGCAAATGTGTGTCGTAGAGAGAGATAACTGGTAAACCTGGTTCACATACAGTAAAAGTACACGTTACTACCTAGTAAATCTGAGGGAAAGTACTATTTTGGATGAATGCATGTGTGTATAAAAATATATACACCATATTTATATGTGTATATGTGTATATGTGTATATGTGTATATGTGTATATGTGTATATGTGTATATGTGTATATATGTGTATATATGTATATATGTCTGTATGTATGTATATGTCTGTATGTATATATGTATGTCTGTATGTATTTATGTATATATTATCTGTATATATGTATGTATGTATGTGTGTCTGTATCTATGTATATATGTATGTATGTGTGTTTATATGTATGTCCGTATGTATGTCTGTATATATGTGTATATATGTATATATATATATATATATTTTTACCACATCAATATAGAATACAGTTTGTATATATATATATATTGTTTTGTTTCCTGCCCGTCCACCTGTTTGTCTCTGTTTTGTCACCATAACATTTTAACGTCAGTTTCTGAATTTCTTTCTTGTTTTGTTTTTTGTTTAGGATTTCTGCGTGGAGTCGTCGTGAAACAATGCCATAGACGTTCCAGGCCACAGTGAGGAGGCTAACGAGGGGCGTGTCCTGCTCTCACACATTCACACAGGGAGCATCACCTGCTGTTACACTTAGCCCTGGTACGGAGACAATCTCTTAGCCCCTGCCTTTCGTTTCCGACCTTTTTTTTTTTACTTAAATTCTTATCGTATTATAAGAATTCTACGGAGAGCATTCTTATTCTCTCTTTTTGTTTGTTCGCTCTACGGAGAGCGAAAAAACAAAAAGCTCAATTCTTTCAGGTGGATGTTACACTGTCACCCACTCACCCTATATTTATCCACAGGTGTTAGTCTTCTAGTCTTCCTCTGGGGGTGCCGATGGTTTCCTGGATACCTGTCCTGGGATGGTGGCGTTCTGTGGCTGCTGCCATGGAGACGGACAGTTTCCTTAGCAGTTTGTTTAAAACACAACATCCAGATGTTGTGCCAGATGCAGCTGGTCCACAAACGCAGAATTAGACAAGACCAGGATACGGAGGTGAGACACCCGGACCCCAGACTCACAGGTCACACGGGGAGACATGTTGGGTTAACTTTAGAAGCAAAAGGCTAGCTTGTCGTGACGCAATATCTGGTGCAACGTTTGAGGAAAGGTCATTTTGTGTCCTTGTCCACTCAGGTGCTGTGCAGCTCAGCTTCTTCTCTCATCGTGTTTGATGACACCACAGCAGAAAGAATAGGACTTTCCCCGCTTCAGTGGAACCTCATTCCGCTGTCCGGAACTCGTGAGGATCTGTCCCGACTTGTTACTCAAAGTTAGGCAAGGTTGAATTATCACCAATACAGCAAACATGCGACACATTCACGTGGAGTTGCCCCACAAAAAGACTCCTTTAGAACTGCCTGCCCACGAGGGGGACCTGCCGCCTCCTACGGCCCCACAAGAGGGCATAGACCATGGGGTCAGACCAGGGGCACCAAGGCACTTTGGCCAGGAGGAGCTGCGATACCAGAAGGTCTACCAGCTCTCCATTTACTCCCAGCTGGGGGAATTTTCTACCTCCACCGAATCCAACGCCGACAACCAGCAGAGACCTGTCCGGGTCGGTGTGAAAAGGACACTGGAAGAGACGCAACTGACTCACAAGCGCCCCATCCTGGCAGAGTCTCCCGAGAGGGAGGCTCTGGAGGGAGGGATTCTGTGTGGGCCGGCCCCAGCTCAAGGTGTTGGGATGGGTTCTGCAGGACCACAGATGGAGCACAGAGACTCTGAGGCAGGGTTGTCACCCAGGTCTCCGCCGCTATCGCCGAGTCACACTCCGGCCCGACGTCCTACCCAGCACAATCACGATAAACCCGTTCCTGATGTGTTTGCTCCGCTTTCTCCCAAATCGTCTCCGATGTGTGACCAGGGCCACGCAGGCGGCGGCGGCGGCTCGGTCAGGATGGAGTCAAGTAACGGGGGCCGCACTCCCACCTACTCTGTCACCAGTCCTGGACACGAGAGCTGCACTAATGGGTCATCAGGAGGGCAGCCCAGTCCCCACTTGTACGAAATGTCCACATATGAGACTCCCAACCCCGCCAGTCCCACTAGCCCCCCAGGTCCCTTCTCACCCCCGCACCACACCGAGCTGCAGGAACCCGGGGAGGCCACTGAATGGGAAGTGGGACTTGAATCCTCGCCACCGGAACGCAGTGCCACCCAGGCTGCCTCGTCGTCCTCTAAGGGCCTGTCCTCCTGGGAGAAAACTCCCAGCAGTAACGGCCACCGTCTGTCGGCAGGAGGACACTGGCCGGCCAAGAAAAGGCTGCTGTCCCCCAACGACACGGAAGAGTCGGAGGACGAGGGTCCGTCCACGTCCAAGAAAAGCCGTCTGTCCCTGCTCACCCCGGGACTGGGCTCAGCCTCATGTCGTAGCACTGATGCCAAAGCTGCACCTTACTGGAACCACCTGCTGCCCAACACGTGGGACCGGACCAAGGTTGGCACGGCGACACACAAACACCCACACACGGCAAATGGTTCCCAAAAAATAAAAACTAGAATAGCAGGATGAGTACTGCGGTGAATACTATATATTTATATATTTGTGTTACATTACTATTATTAAGTCAGTGTAAATGTTCTTTTTTTTTTTTGGTAGTTACGAATTTAAGGTATACATTTTTTTTTCAAAATAAAATTATTTTATCAGCCTAAGCCACACACACACCGTACAAAGCATTACAATGGTCAAACATGGTTCTCAAACATACCACTAGGGGGAAGCGCAAGTACCACCACAAGTGTGCGAAACATATTTTGAGAAACTCTGAGTCATTGAGTGAATTAAACTACATATTAAAGTATTCATTTTTTTTAAATCAAATGGCAGTACAAATTATTGCTAATCGAGCAACCTTTTAGCTAGCAGATAAATGAATGCTAGTCCGTGCTGCTACTGATGCCATTAGTGGACCAATTTTTTTTTTTTTTTAAAGAGAGGAACAATCAACAGTCAACAGAAAAAAAGAGATGTTGGCTAATACTCACACCACACTGGAACAGACCAGTCTCTCTAGCTGTAGCTCTAGTTGTAGCTAACATTAGCTCTGGTGTCTGTGCCAGGACTGTTTTAGCTAACATTAGCTCTGGTGTCTGTACCAGGACTGTTTTAGCTAACATTAGCTCTGGTGTCTGTACCAGGGATGTAGCTAACACTAGCTCTGGTGTCTGTACCAGGACTGTTTTAGCTAACATTAGCTCTGGTGTCTGTGCCAGGACTGTTTTTTTTTTAATCAAATGGCAGTACAAATTACCACTAATCCAGCAACCTTTTAGCTAGCAGATAAATGAATGCTAGTCCGTGCTGCTAATGATGCCATTATTGCCATTATTGGCATCATTAGCATTACGGTTGTTTTTTGACAGGATCAAGTCGTTGTGCTTGTAAAAGTTCAAAGGAAGAATGAAACGTCAGGGGGTTCAATTTAGGGTTGGGGTCACAAAAGCCCTGTTTTAGCTAACATTAGCTCTGGTGTCTGTACCAGGACTGTTTTAGCTAACATTAGCTCTGGTGTCTCTACCAGGACTGTTTTAGCTGACATTAGCTCTGGTGTCTCTACCAGGACTGTTTTAGCTAACATTAGCTCTGGTGTCTCTACCAGGACTGTTTTAGCTGACATTAGCTCTGGTGTCTGTGCCAGGACTGTTTTTTTTTAATCAAATGACAGTACAAATTACCACTAATCGAGCAGCCTTTTAGCTAGCAGATAAATGAATGCTAGTCCGTGCTGCTAATGATGCCATTATTGGCATCATTAGCCTTGTCTACGGTTGTTTTTTGACAGGATCAAGTAGTTGTGCTTGTAAAGTTCAAAGGAAGAATGAAACGTCAGGGGGTTCAATTTAGGGTTGGGGTCACAAAATCCCTGTTTTAGCTAACATTAGCTGTGGTGTCTGAACCAGGACTGTTTTAGATAACATTAGCTCTGGTGTCTGTACCAGGACTGTTTTAGCTAACATTAGCTCTGGTGTCTGTGCCAGGACTGTTTTTTTTTAATCAAATGGCAGTACAAATTACCACTAATCCAGCAACCATTATTGGCATCATTAGCTTTGTCTACGGTTGTTTTTTGCCAGGATCAAGTAGTTGTGCTTGTAAAAGTTCAAAGGAAGAATGTAACGTCACCAATTAGGGGTTTAATTTAGGGTTGGGGTCACATCAGGGATCGGTTCCTGAGCTCCTTTTTGTTTGCTAGTTTTTTTTGTTTTTTTTAAGAGAGGAACAATAGTCAACAGAAAAAAAAGAGATGTTGGCTAATACTCACACCACACTGGAACAGACCAGTCTCTCTAGAAAGAAGTCCATTGAGGACAAGGTCAATTGTTCCACCAAGGTCTCATACACAGTACACAGTACACAGTGTACATCCTGCTTTAAAGGTTCCAGAAGTCATTGGTTCTATGGACAGTTTTAAACACAGAGGCCAGAGAAAAGTTTTGAACGTGAGTGCGTTTGTGGGTCGGTGCTAACGGTGACATTTGGGTTTCGTTCGTTCCACTTGTTCAGTCACTTTTTTTTTTAGATGATACAATTTCATGACCAACTGAGAAAAGGCGTTAATGCTACACAGATCCACGGTCCGTGTGACCATGGGTGGCCAGTTTACCAGCAGATGGTTAGCAAGTGTCGTAGGGTTGGCAAATGATGAGTCATCTCAAAGCTGTGAACGCTTCGATGTAAACAGCGTCTTGGTAACGGAAAACGTTTGTGTTCGTGATACATGGAACAGTAGTCAGAGTTCAGTAAGTAAGAGGTCGCCACAAACGCCAAATCACAAAAAAAATAAAAAAATATATCAGGAATTGTTTTAGCTTTTTAGACATATTTTATGTCTCTTTAATAAAAATCCACTTTTGTATTTTACCTGTAAATAATGACTGTAACGTTCTCCCTCTTTAGAATGGTACGGACTGCACACGATCAGGAAGACGACTTAAAAGTGGACTTCGTTTGAAAAGGTGAGTGAGTCATCATGACGTGCTTATAAGTAGATATAAATAGTACTAGAAGAAGCTTTGACTAGGGTTGTTTTTAGCCAGGATCAAGTAGTTGTGCTTGTAAATTTCAAAGGAAGAATGAAATGTCACCAATTAGGGGTTCAATTTAGGGTTGGGGTCACATCAGGGTTCGGTTCCTGAGCTCTTTTTTGTTTGCTATGCCAGTGGACCAATTGACTGATAGGATCAGGCAGCAGGGTAGGAAGAGTAAAGGGATGCTACATCTAACCAGAGCTAATGTTAGCTAAAACAGTCCTGGTACAGACACCAGCGCTAATGTTAGCTACAACCCTGGTAGAGACACCAGAGCTAATGTTGCGTACAACAGTCCTGGTACAGACACCAGAGCTAATGTTGGGTACAACAGTCCTGGTACAGACACCAGAGCTAATGTGAACTAAAACAGTACTGGTACAGACACCAGCGCTAATGTTAGCTACAACCCTGGTAGAGACACCAGAGCTAATGTGCACTAAAACAGTACTGGTACAGACACCAGCGCTAATGTTAGCTACAACCCTGGTAGAGACACCAGAGCTAATGTTAGCTACAACCCTGGTAGAGACACCAGAGCTAATGTTGCGTACAACAGTCCTGGTACAGACACCAGAGCTAATGTTGCGTACAACAGTCCTGGTACAGACACCAGAGCTAATATTAGCTCTGGTGTCTGTACCAGTACTGTTTTAGCTAACATTAGCTCTGGTGTCAGTACCAGGGTTGTAGCTAACGTTAGATCTGGTGTCTGTAGCATGACTGTTGTAGCTAATGTTAGCTCTGGTGTTTGTAGCAGGACTGTTGTAGCTAACATTAGCTCTGGTGTCTGTACCAGTACTGTTTTAGCTAACATTAGCTCTGGTGTCAGTACCAGGGTTGTAGCTAACATTAGCTCTGGTGTCTCTACCAGGGTTATAGCTAACATTAGCGCTGATGTCTGTACCAGGGTTGTAGCTAACATTAGCTCTGGTGTATGCACCACGCCTTTAGGTGCATTAGCACCACCTCCTGGGCTGGACGCTGCATATCAGTGTATGACACCAATTAAAAAGATATGATAGAATGCAATAGAATTTTAATGTGTTTTGTTTTTCAATGGATTTTTCTGGAAATTAATATGTTCAAGTCCCAACCCCTAAAATATAAAACACATGTTCAATGGGTTTCATTTGTTAGCTACGTTATATACAAAATAAACACAGGGGCTAACCGGGGGAGTTAGCACAGGCTGCAGGTGACTCCTTATTAAAGGGTTCTGGGTTCAGTCGTGAACAATCACGCTAACTGACACAGGCGGAGCAGAGGTGAGTTAGGACGACATCAGTGTAATCTCAGCCACTAAAGCTCTGCTCTGGTTCCAGTCGGCAGCTGCGCAGTGGAAGACACACAGACACCGGTCGCTCCACACGTTCCAGCTGGCCCTCGTCTTCAATCAGCAGATCTCTCCTCGGCAACTTTGAGGTACAATCTTTAACTACTATAATGAGTTACAGACGGTGAATCAGGTGTCGGTGGAGCCAACGCACAGGCCATGTTTTTTTTATTAAACGTTTGCAGGTGGAGATGGACAGAGATTCCTCACTGGTCTGGAAACACTTTGAAGAAATTACAATCTATTGGAGAAACGTTTAAAAAAAAAATTAGAGGGAGTTGTTGCATCATTTGACTATTTCCTGTTTGGTGAAGTTCTACATCCTGTAATAATTGTTTTAATCTTTTTTTTTTTTTTTTTTGGTTTTTACTTGTATGAAGCTGCTAAAAGATCCTGCAAAAACCAAAAAAAAAATCAATATTTCTCTGACTAAAAGTTGCACTTTTTTTCATCCTGCGACTAAGATAAAAATATGTGATTTCACATTTTTGTTATTCTCACACTGACAGCCACTAGAGGGCACTCTAGACTTGTATAACAGTATCTGCTCACTCCTGTACCATTGAAAAATTTACGTGTTGGTTATTTTCACACTGACAGCCACTAGAGGGCACTCTAGACTTGTGTAACAGTATCTGCTCACTCCTGTACCATTGAAAAATTTACGTGTTGGTTATTTTCACACTGACAGAGACTAGAGGGCGCTCTAGCTGACGGGTGCGACCTATACTCTGGAGCGACTTATAGTCCAGAAAATACGCTACCCTTTAAAAGTGTCCCGTAGGAAAAGTGACTGTTGGAACAGCAGTTCATTTTACATCTACACCTTCTCCTCTGTGACTGGTTCTTGAAATCAAAAGCTCATATGTCTCGTGAGTCACTCATTGTTGTTGTCGTTGTTGTCGTTGAGCAGCAGCTGTCTGTATTTCCAGCCTGCAGTCAGTCCTGAATGTTGATGCATTTGGTCCAGATCATAGAAATGCACCAGTTCATTTATAAACATTTCTTCTTCTTCTTCTTCTTTTTCTTCTGTTCCCTCTGTCTGGTCCATGTCAGGAGTCCATTCTCAAGGGACGGTTCTCGCCCTCCGGCAGGATCGAAGGCTTCACGGCAGAGATCGGCGCCAGCGGCTCGTACTGCCCTCAACACGTCACTCTGCCGGTGCAGGTTACGTACTACGACATCTCGGAGCACAGCGTTCCCTCTCCCTTTCTGGTCAGTTCACACATGTCTGTGTCTGTGTTTGTTGATGTTTGTTGATGTTTTCTGCCGTCCGTTTGTTTGTCTGACAAGTGTTGTCGTGTTGTCGCGTCGCCTCGGAACAGATGTCAAGAACATCTGGTGTTTTTTTTTTTTTCGTTTTTTTCTTGCGTACGTCACGTATCATCATGACTCATTTTGTTCACATCCATTTTTTTTCCCACCATTTTATCCTGCGTGTTTAAAAACTGTTCAGCAATAACCACACGATAAATTTATATATATATGTATATATATGTATATGTGTATATATATGTATATATATATATATATGTATATATATGTATATATATGTATGTATATACATATTAAATCCCATGTTACTGTCTCTCGTCTTCACAGGGAGTGGTTTCTCTTGAGCATCTTGGAAAGAAAGGATACAGCATACCCAAAGTAGGGACCATTCAAGTGGTGAGTCCAAAGTCAAGGGCACTTATGTGGTGGTTCTGAAAATGGGGGGCACAGAGCTATTTCTGTGTCACTGCAGCAGGTCAAATTAAAAAAAAAAAAAGATTTAATATCTTTTTTTACTGGTGACAGAGTAGAAATACTGATCTGACATTTGATCGACTTGTTGGTAGATTTTCTATCTTACTAATTACAGTACTAATTACATTCACAGCTACTGCTTCCAACCTTTATTTAACCCTTTCATGCATGACGGTCACTACAGTGGACAGCTATTAAAATGTCATTTCCGTGGACGCCTGAGAATCCACTGTAGAGGCTTTTATGCAACACTGCCATCAAAACCTATTCTTATCATAGAAACTGACATTTTAATAGCTGTCCACTGTAGTGACCGTCATGCATGAAAGGGTTAAATAAAGGTTGGAAGCAGTAGCTATGAATGTCGTCGATGGGGACCTGGGGCGGGGGGTCTTGACACTAGTCATATCTACAAAAGTTTGGACACTTGTATATATCCTATGGTCCTGCTGATGAGCAGGGTTAAAGGTCAAGGTCAAATCTGTGACACTCGTCTCCTCCCGTCTCCTCAGACCTTATTCAATCCCAACAAAACTGTGGTGAAGATGTTCCTGGTGACCTACAACTTCAGCGACATGCCCGTCAATCACATCACCTTCCTCCGCCACCGCATCTTCCTGGTGCCTGTGGAGGAGGGGGCCGAGGGGAGAGAAGAGGCGCCCCCTGGGGGCGGAGACAGGAAGAAGATTCTTTGCTACCTGATACATCTCAGGTGAAGTTTACAACTCAACCGCAGTTCCTCATTTGACCTCCACCGAATGGGGGCGTGAATTCACCCTCTGTGTTTTCTTTTTTTCTTTTTGTCCTCCTCAGATTCCACAGCTCCAAATCTGGGAAGATTTACTTGCACAACGATATCCGGCTGCTATTCTCCCGCAAATCCATCGAAGTGGACACGGGGATCCCTTATGAGTTGAAATCTTTCACCGAGGTGCCAAAAAACCCCAAATACTCTCCGCGTGTGTGACCCTCCCCGCCCTCCCTCCCCACCCCCAGCTTGACCTTTGAACT